CCCGAGAACGACAGAAAATGGGATACAGAACTACATAGAAAATGAAGAAACGACAACATTTCGGTCCGTCTTGAACCGAAGCGACTTGATAATGGTCCAGGGCGGACCGAAACGTCGTTCGATTTTTATTTCCTGATGTATAGTTTGCTCATCATATCTTCAGCCGCGTTATGAGTGATGATATGATGATGAGACGAGTTGTGACTCATCGTCTGTATATGGGAAACACAATTTTGCATGGATGCCATCACCCTCTCTCTTAACATAAACTTTATCTTCGTTTTGTGTTAAAGTAATTCATTGCAATATAATTCTTATTCACTCGTTTTCTGTTTGTTTCTCTCACTAAATCTCTCCCTTTTTCTTTCTCTATATGAACCTCTGCCTCTCAGTATGTTTCTCTCTCTCACATTCTCTAATTTTAATTTCCTTGTGCATTGCTCCAAATTAATTCCTTTCAATTCCTCTCCCTTTTAAATCTGTGTGTTATCACGATGAATAAAACATAATGCAAAAACGTTTAAATATATATCTCAAGCACTGATATTATTGATATTACATATCAACATTCTTGCATATTCATAATATCACATCATTGATTGCCACATTTATAGCGCGTTTCTAAAAAAATCTTATCAATAATGTTCAAATTCTTGGCATTGAAGCCCTAATTCCCAGCTGTCATGCTTAGATTTCCAAAACTGAATAACCAATAACCTTTTTTAATTCCAAAACGTCCCCCCCCCAGAAGTTATATCATATTTCCTAGGAACTATAATACTCATTCAGGAAGCTTATTGTTTCATAAAAATAGAAAATAAAGGCAGAGCCAAAAATAATATATTTATATATTTATTTTCACATTTGGACTCGTTGTAAATGTGGCGATATTTATTTATTTTTACCTCGGTAAACACATCATATTTCAGGGGCTTAAAAATTAACGTGTATATGACCTCGTGATCCAGCGAAGTTGCGTGTCTATCATATATGTGAGCCTTATGCAACATGAAATAGACAAATTGAGCGAGGCATCTGTCTGATGATTATTACAGTCATAATCTTACCAATCACAGAGGATACATATATATATATATATATATATATATATATATATATATATATATATATATATATATATATATATATATATATATATATATATATATATATATATATATATATATATATATATATATATATATATATATATATATATATATATATATATATATATATATACCCTGGGATCAAAGATAGCTATACACTCGAAGCAATAAGGCTAAACGAGCTCAGCTTACAAGGGGGCAATATTCCTGAGCATTAGAGACAAAAATGCTCTCGTATATCCAGGTAACACGAAATCGATGAGCTATAAAGTAAGCCAACGAGGAAACACTGGTGCTCAGTACGTTGTCTATGACGGCAAGGAAGAGTGTGTGAGAGTACCTGAGTACTGTGGGTGGTGTTAGAAGAAAGTGGGATTGTCTGAGGGAACGGATGAATGAATGAGAGAGAGAGAGAGAGAGAGAGAGAGAGAGAGAGAGAGAGAGACAGAGAGAGAGACAGAGAGAGACATAGACAGAGAGCTATAGCAGACGAAGACTAAAGAATAAATTAAACAATACTTTAGTTAACTGTTATCTTTAAGACCCCCCACCCCCGCAATCCTTCTCTCTCTCTCTCTCTCTCTCTCTCTCTCTCTCTCTCTCTCTCTCTCTCTCTCTATCCAAGTTTGCCTCCCTCCCTTTCTCTTCTTCCATCGCCTCTCCCTCCATCCTAACCCTCCCCTCCTCCCTAAAATGCGCTTTTACACTTGGCGATGAACAAATCTGATTAATGGTTTGACGCAAGGCAAATGGAAGTTTTGGAGAGATGTGATTCCTCACATCTGCGGCGCGAATTTGACTCCAAACTCACCAGCACTTGTCTTTGACGTGAGGTTGTTTGGAGACCACCTGGGGGATGAGGGAAAGGGAGAATGAGAGAGAGAGCGAAGAGAGGGAGATGGAAAGTGATGGAGGATGAGGGGGAAGGAGGGAGATGGATAGAGAGAGTGATGTAGGGCGGAAAGGGTTCATGGATTCACCTAGTTGTGCTGGCGGGGGTTGAGCTCTGGCTCTTTGGTCCCACCTCTCAACTGTCATTCAACTGGTGGTGGTGGAGGATGAATGAGGAGTGAAGATTTATGAGAGGGAGGTTAAATTATGGGCACTGGGAGGGATATGGCGATGGAAAAGGGTTGAATATGGGTGAGTGGAAAGGTTGAAGGGGGTTGAGGCCGGGAGGGGTAAGGGGGCAAGGTATGGGAGATGGAGAAGGGGAATTGGAAAAGGCAGGAATAGGATGAAGAGATGGATAATAGGGAGGGATATTGAGAGGGGAATAAAGAGGAGGAGGATGGGAAGGGGATAGGGAGGGGGCATGGTCAATGGGACTAAGGAAATTGATAGGAAAGGAATGGGTAGGGGTGATGGATAGGGGCTGGGGTGATGGGATTAGAAGATAGATTGGAAGGAGTGAATTCTGGGTATTGGAGAGGGGATTTACAAGGGAGGGGGAGAGATGAGAAGAGAATAGATGAGAAAGGGTAGAGTTCAGAGAGAAGGTGGAACAGTAGAAGTATTGGGAGATGAAAAATTAAGATTGGCAGAAAGAGAAATGGAAGAGAGAAGAATTACGAAAATAAACAAAAGTGAAAAGAAGAGGCAACTAAATGAGGGTCTCTGATTGGAAGTGGTGGATAGGAAAGGTAAGAGATGAGAGGGAAGGAAAAGCAGAGAGAAGAGGATAGGTAAGGAAGAGAAGCGAGGCATACTAACTCATCAGATGAAGGCTGAAAGCATCTTTCCACAGCATCACTGTGCAAGGTTTTCTCAGTGGTCAGTGATCAGTCCTCACACGGTGTCACCACCACTACCACCATCACTACCACCACCACCATCACTACCACCACCACCACCATCACTACCACCACCACCACCACCACCACCACCACCATCATCGATAACCACCTCCACCCTTCAAATCCATCACAGCCACCCCACTTAAAATTCAGTTGACTTTGGAGGCTGACAAAAATATATTGCATATATTTCTTGATATAAATATTGATTTAAATGTATAAACATCACTTTACACATTGTAATACTTTAAAAAGATATCGTGATTAGTTTTCTTGCCTAGAGCGTAATGTTTGAAGCGTAAAGCTTTCTTCCCAAGTTAACTCTTAACCAGGTTAACCAAGTATGCCACCTGAGAGCCCAATTTGGTAGTACTGTGGCTTCTGTGACATCAGTTTGTTACTGTGAAGGCTGATGACAACAAAGAGTTTGTTATTGTGAAAGCTGATGCCCCGGAAAATAGATGATTACTGTGAGTGATCATCAACTGATATTTATTTTGCTGTGAATGAGGCAAGTAGAGCTTTGCATCCAGTGCTCAAAGGGATGTCACATTACAATGTGTTGTTCCCAGTAATTATGAACTATTAATTGGTCTGGAATAAACACTAAACCTTTGTATCCTTCGAACTGGTAGTGATTAAACATATGATATTATTAATATAAATATGGCTACTACTGTTGACCAGACCACACACTAGAAATTGAAGGGACGACGACGTTTCGGTCCGTCCTGGACCATTCTCAAGTCGATGGATAGGGGCCATTCTCAATCGAATTGAGAATGGTCCAGGACGGACCGAAACGTCGTCGTCCCTTCAATTTCTAGTGTGTGGTCTGGTCAACATACTTCAGCCACGTTATTGTGACTCATCGCCTGCATATGGCTACCACTGCTATTGCTACTACTGCTGCTACAGAGGATATTTATATTATAGACAATTGCGAACAATATATAGCCCGTAGGTGATATCTTAAAAGTATTTAGTTACATTGCAAGTGGGTCTCACAGAATTTCATTAGCGGAATAATATAATTTCAGGCGAGGCTCGCTTTCAGATTCAATTTCATGGTTTTGCAGAGTTGGTTACATGTAATAATGATAGAATTTTGGTGTTCACAACTCTCCTCTGAGGAGTGTTTTTCCTATCAGCCTTCTACTGTTGGGTATCGTAGATCAGTCTTCTATTGAGTGGTGTTGTAAACCCACCCTCCACTGAGTGGTGATGTAAACCCACCCTCTACTGAGTGGTGCTGTAAACCCACCCTCTACTGAGTGGTGCTGTAAACCCACCCTTTACTGAGTGGTGTTGTAAACCCACCATCTACTGAGTGGTGTTGTAAACCCACCCTCTACTGAGTGGTGCTGTAAACCTACCCTCCACTGAGTGGTGTTGTAAACCCACCCTCCACTGAGTGGTGCTGTAAACCCACCCTCTACTGAGTGTTGTTGTAAACCCACCCTCTACTGAGTGGTGTTGTAAACCCACCTTCTACTGAGTGGTGCTGTAAACCCACCCTCCACTGAGTGGTGTTGTAAACCCACCCTCCACTGAGTGGTGCTGTAAACCCACCCTCCACTGAGTGGTGTTGTAAACCCACCCTCCACTGAGTGGTGCTGTAAACCCACCCTCCAGTGAGGGCTTCCTTAGCCCAATACTCCACCAAGAAGTATCTCTCGATGGGTAAAGCAAATAAAATAAGCACTAGCAAAGGGGAAAGTTATCTCTGATAACAAAAATTATATTAATGATCTAATTAGTTGAAATATGTTTTTTTCCCCACCACTAAGATTTTAAAGTTAATGAAATTCTCAGGTACACAGCAAAACTGGAGGAGCCAGGACGAGCGAAGCAGAGCAAGTTAAATTGGAAGATGAGTTTTATCTCCAATTCAGTAGAGATAGTTTTTAAAAAATAAGTCTCTCCTCCAAAATAAGGTCTCGTCCCTCAGTGCGTCACAGGACGGCAGCATCTGTGGACGAACTTCAGACCAACAGGAGAGTCATCTTACAGCAGCAGAAGTGGAATATAAATTTGGTATAAACCATCATTGTCTCATATTCATGTCTAAAAAATGTAAAACTGTGGTTCACAGTGTGTCTGGAGGAGGACGGGACTGCCGAGGTGGGTGACGACGATGCTGGAGGAGGAGGAGACGAAGGAGGACCACGACTGAGGACTCACGAAGGACCTCATTTCCTCCACGACCGTCTCAACCTTAACGTCTCGGTCCAGTTAGCCTCCACCGCCTACCTCCACTGTCGCATTGCCGGACTCAAGGACCAGTCGGTGAGTGGTATGTGGACCAGTCAGTGAGTGGTATGTGGACCAGTCAGTGGGTGGTATGTGGACCAGTCAGTGAGTGGTATGTGGACCGGTCAGTGAGTGGTATGTGGACCAGTCAGTGGGTGGTATGTGGACCAGTCGGTGGGTGGTATGTGGACCAGTCGGTGAGTGGTGTGTGGACCAGTCGGTGAGTGGTATGTGGACCAGTCAGTGGGTGGTATGTGGACCAGTCAGTGAGTGGTATGTGGACCAGTCAGTGGGTGGTATGTGGACCAGTCAGTGGGTGGTATGTGGACCAGTCAGTGAGTGGTATGGTGACCAGTCGGTGAGTGGTATGTGGACTAGTCAGTGAGTGGTATGTTGACCAGTCAGTGAGTGGAATGTTGACCAGTCAGTGAGTGGAATGTTAACCAGTCAGTGAGTGGTATGTTGACCAGTTAGTGGGTGGTATGGTGACCAGTCGGTGAGTGGTATGTGGACCAGTCGGTGAGTGGTATGTTGACCATTCAGTGAGTGGTATGTTGACCAGTTAGTGGGTGGTATGGTGACCAGTCGGTGAGTGGTGTGTGGACCAGTCGGTGAGTGGTATGTGGACCAGTCGGTGAGTGGTATGTGGACCAGTTGGTGAGTGGTATGTGGACCAGTCAGTGAGTGGTATGTGGACCAGTCAGTGGGTGGTATGTGGACCAGTCAGTGAGTGGTATGTGGACCAGTCGGTGAGTGGTATGTGGACCAGTCGAAGCTCATATTATGCTGTCGAAAAAGATAGCCCAAAAAATCCAGATCAGAGATAGCTGGGTTATCTTTTTTGTTTTGTTTTGCCAACTGCAGAGACGATAGTACACGGAATATATCATCAACATTAAATGCCATTAGTAGCTATACTAATAGTATACTTGAACTATAGTAGTTCAATTCAGTGGTGAAGCATATTTTAATATAATTTCAACAGTACGGCTACGCATCAGAGTATTTATCGCAACACATTGGTTGGGAAACGATGCTTTAAACTCCTTTTTAGATCCTTAAAGACTTATCCGGGACGAAGCCTTGACGATAAGAACTCTGTAGACTAGAAATGACAAAAGTGATTGGATGTTCATCATAACACATGTCAATTTGCAGGTGATGAGTCACAATAACGTGGCTGAAGTATGTTGACCAGACCACACACTAGAAGTTGAAGGGACGACGACGTTTCGGTCCGTCCTGGACCATTCTCAAGTCGATTGAGACTTGAGAATGCGTGCTTGAGACTTGAGACTTGAGTCGTGCCCAATCGACTTGAGAATGGTCCAGGACGGACCGAAACGTCGTCGTCCCTTCAACTTCTAGTGTGTGGTCTGGTCAACACATGTCAGTTTATTTTAATAAACATTCGATAAATTTTCAGATATTTGTATGGAAGGAACTATCAGGGGGAAAGCGCCAAGCCATTTAGGCTATATATAGCACTGGGAAGGTCAGGATAAGGATTTGGAATGGGACAGGGAGAAGCGGAATGGTGCCCAAGCACTAGGTAGACGATCGGGGATTGAACGCCGTCCTGCATGAAGCGAGACCGTTGGTCTACCGTCCAGCCCAAATATTTGTAAGACACTGTCCGAGTTGTAAGCCCGTACCAGGCCACCGTCGCCTGCTGGAGAAAGGACTCCCGTCCCTAACGGCTCTTCGCTGAGTGATGCATTACCATATTAAACGAATATTATGGTAGTGGCCATAACTCATCTAAAAACTTGTATATTATGCTCCCGTTTGCTTTTTCTTTCGCATTTTCTCGTTTTTTTTTGTCTTTCTGTATTTGCTAGCGAGGCAGAATGCTGTGAATTCAGTGAGGCGAACAGGACAAGTATGTTGACAAAGAGATAGTTTACTCACTTAATTGTGCTTGCGGGGGTTGAGCTCTGGCTCTTTGGTCCCGCCTCTCAATCGTTAATCGACTGGTGTACAGGTTCCTGAGCCTACTGGGCTCTATTATATTTACACTTGAAACTGTGTATGGAGTCACCCTCCACCACAGCACTTCCTAGTGTGTGTGTGTGTATGTGTGTGTGTGTGTGTGTGTGTGTGTGTGTGTGTGTGTGTGTGTGTGTGTGTGTGTGTGTGTGTGTGTGTGTATTTGCTATTGGTAACTGCAGAACCGAGCTGTTAGCTCTTGGACCCCGCCTTTCTAACCTTTGGTTCTCTAACGTAATAACTCCCGACATTTATTTCCTTTATAATATCTCTGTTATATATTTCTCTCTCTCACACACATACACACACATGCAGATGCAGCTCGTAGCAGCTATCAACTCTCACATAACTATTTCCTCTAGGTGAACTGTAGGTGAATAGGTGCATCAGTTGACCGAAACTGCCTATTTGTTTCTGCTTCGACCGTAATCAAAGCGGGCCCTCAAGACTATGATCCCAGAGCGATGTCCACTCGGCTGCGAGGACCTGTGTGTGTGTGTGTAATTACCTAAGATTAATTACATAAGTGCACTTAAATGATGAGAGCTACGCTCGTGGTGTCCCGTCTTCCCAGCACTCTTTGTTAAATAACGCTTTGAAACTACTGATGGTTTTGGCCTCCACCACCTTCTCACTTAACTCGTTCTAACCCTCTACCACTCTGTTTGCAAAAGAAAACTTTCTAATATTCTTTCGCCACCTTTGTTTCCTTAGCTTGAACTTTTGTCCTCTTGTTCTTGAAGTTGCTGGTTTCAGAAACTCCTCCTTGTCAATTTGGTAAATTTCAGTTATTATTTTGTAAGTGGTAATCATATCACCTCTTTTTTAAATTGTTGACAAATTTAACGCCTCTAGTCTCTCCTCATAACTCTTTTTTTAAGTTTTGGAAGCCATTTTGTAGCATACCTTTGCATCTTTTCCAGTTTATTGGTGTGCTTCTTGAGATATGAGCATCATACAACTGCTGCATATTCCAATTTTTGTCTCACAAAAGTCATGAACAGTTTCATTAACATTTCACCATTCATGTAGTTAAAAGCGAGTCTGAAGTGGGAAAGCGACGCATACGCTTCTCGCATAATGTTTTGTGTGTGTTCCTCTGGTGACAATTTACTATCTAAAGTCACTCCTAGATCTCGTTCTTTATTATAGTTCTTTAATTCTTTAATAAGTGTGTGTATTCGCCGAATGGTGTTTAAAGTCAGGGAAGAATTACTCGTTGGTGTCTATGGAGTGTCATTGCTAGGCTTGAATACATTGATTGCATAATCCTCCACCATCTTTCCGTTCAGTCTATCCAAGTACGAGCCCAATAGGCTCAGAACCTGTACAGCAGTTGGTTGATGGCTGAAAGTTCAACCACTGCAACAAAGTGACTACACACACACAAACACACAATTAATTATGAGATTTATTAATTATGAGAAGGATTGTGACAGAGGAGGACAGCTTGAGGCTTCAAGAAGACCTAGACAAACTGAGGGAATGGTCCAACAAATGGTTGTTAGAGTTTAACCCAAGCAAATGTAATGTAATGAAGATAGGTGTAGGGAGCAGAAAACCAGATGTAAGGTATCATTTTGGAGATGAAATACTTCATGAGTCAGAGAGAGAGAGAGAGAGAAAGACCTGGAGTTTGATATCACACCAGAAATGTCCCTTGAAGCCCATATCAAGATGATAACATCAGCGGCATATGCTAGGTTTGTCAACATAAGAACGGCCTTTAGAGGAAGGAATCCTTCAGAACTTTGTATACCACATATGTCAGACCAATCCTGGAGTATGCGGCTCCATCATGGAATCCATATCTAGTCAAGCATAAGACTAAGCTGGAAAAGTTCAAATGTTTACCAGAACTAGTACCTGAACTGAGGGGTGTGAGCTACGAGGAGAGACTAGGGGAATTAAACCTCACGTCACTTTTAGACAGAAAAGTTAGGGGGACATGATCACCACATACAAGATTCTCAGGGGAATTTATAGGGTGGATAAAGACAGACTATTTAGTACAAGGGGCAGACGCAATAGGGGACACAGGTGGAACTTGAGTGCTCAAATGAGCCAGAGAGATATTAGAAAGTATTTTTTCAGTGTCTAAGTAGTTGACAAATGGAGTGCATTAGGAAGTGATGAGGTGGAGGCAGACTCCATTCATAGTTTCAAGTGTATATATGATAGGCTCAGGAACCTATTTATCAATTGATTGACAATTGAGAGACGGGACCAAAGAGCCAGAGCTCAACCCCCGCAATCACAACTAGGTAAGTACAACTAGGTAAGTACACACACACACACACATTACATCTAATAAGACAACTATATACTATAACACCAAGGTCCATACTAACCCTCGGGGCTTCCCATCTTTCGCAGCAATCCAGTAATCCTCTCAACGACAAGACTCGCCCACCCTAATACTAAGAAATCCACCTTATTTCGGAGAAGCACACTACTCTCTCTCTGCCACGAAATACACAGTGAGCAGTGACTAAAATTACCGTCTCCTGGTGGATGGAATACATTGGTCCTCAGGCAGGAAGACCTGGAAATAATGTTTTCTGGTCTTCTGGAGGAGGTCTGTAGTGCCGTCATCTTGAATATGCTGGAAAAGCTCAACCTTTAGCTTTAAACGTACTGTTTTGTGGTTTAAAAGAATGAATGGAGCTTTTGTTTAAGTTTGGAAGCCTATCATGGCTTATCGAGAGGCCCCTTTCACCAACTACTGACATTCCTCATGGTTGCCACCCACAAAAGATGCCTCTTTTTGGGGTACCTATTTACTACTAGTCATGGAGAGCGAGAAAACGTGCCCAAACGTCTTCATCCTGCCTCAGGAATCGAATCGGGGACCTTAAAGCTGCGAACCGACTACGTTGACTACTGCTTTACTGAAATATACCCCTAGAAATCGTTTTCTAGTCCTCTGAAAACAAGGTAGTTCCTTTGGCTGGCGAACCTCTGCATAAAGTGTACCTGTAGAGACGGTGATCGTCAGAGGAACGCGACTCATAAGCTATCCATGGCGCCTTCGAAGGCCAAGCACTGCTTGCCCTGTGTTCAATTTGCATACATGAATAAACCATACACACGTTGGGCCGTTCCTGAAGCTGTTAAGGGGCTCACAGAAGAGGTCATGGGTCAGGGCCAGTGGAAGGGAAAGCCATTTACAAAATGGAGGCCATTTGTGGCAGGGAGAACTATTTCCTATGGGTAAGGTGTATCACCAATGCCATAACGTGATTTAACACACACTTAGTCTATTCGTACATCTTCAATAACATAAAAAGCAACTCTATATGTTGTAACTATAATGCACATATTCCATGACCAAAGAGCCAAAGCTCAACCCCCACAAGCACAACTAGGTGAGTATGTTTGTTATGGTTATAAATGTATTGTAGTTTCTTGTAATATTCCCCACCTGCTACCCTTTACCAGATATAAATATACCCCAGTTGTTTCCAGTGAACTTAATCCACAATTACTCTCTCAGGAGCTCAATTGATCATTACAATCTCACACCTGCCATCAGGTGCTTGGCATGATTAAAAGTATTACTCAGTAAATATCTTTTCAGTGGCCACTTCAAAGGCCGCAAGTTACCCCCCTTTCTGAACACAAGGACCGTATTGACACATTAGTTCCTTACTGAGTCAGTGAAAAGTGGTGAAATACACGAGAACCATGTTTTTGTACCCCCTTTTTACTTCTAATGTGTTTATTATAATTAAAGGTGCTTCTGTTTAACCAGGTGGTGCTCTGATCCACAGGTGTCGTGGTACAGAAAGAAAGGAGACGAGATTCACCTTATCACCTTCGGCTTCCAGACTTACCACAATGATGACAGGTGAGTTGGCACTGTGCCCGGAGGCTTACCTAGTATAGTGCCACTATGTCGGAGTCATTACCGGTATAATGGCACTGGTTCTATAAATTTGTAAATCTTTGGGAAAATAATCAAGTTCTTCTCTAGGATACAGTGATAGAAAATATGTTTCATATACCAATTATTTCTCACTCAATCAAAATGACAAATATGTCATTTTGATTTGAAATGACTTAATTTGTCAGCAATATATATGAATTATTGTTTGATATCGTAGATATCTAGTTTATTAAATATTTATTTGTTATCATTTCTCGCTCACAATATTTGATTTTTCTCACTCTGTCTCACTCACTCACTCTTATTCTCTCTCCCTCACTCTCCCCCTCTCCCTCACTCTCCTCCTCTCTCTCACTCCCCCTCCTCTCCCTCACTCTCTCTCATCTCTCCTAAACTCACAAAGGGGCTGTAAAATTTCTCGCCATTATGACGCTAATAAATTACTCTCGCGTTAAATGTAATTGAAATAACCCTTAATACTGACAGTTAGGAACGAGTAATGAAGATTAAAAATGTAATTGCCTCTTTCGTTGAATAATAATTTTGTGGTCTTACTTGTTACCTTACTGACTCATTCCTTCGCTTTTTATGTTTCTAATTCATCCGCTAATTCAAAATTATATTCATCAACTGTTTTTTTCAATTATTAGAAATATTCACGTTCACATACTGATTCATTCATTTTATTTCTCATATTCCTTCCTTTATTCCGTTTTGCTCCCTCATCTTCCTTCTTCTATACCTCATTTCAATATGCCATTCATTCCGCTCACTTTTATTTCCTTGTTTCCTTACGTAAACATTCCTTTCATCCCTCTCTCTCTCACACACTCCTACAGGCACACACACACACACACACACACACACACACACACACACACACACACACACACACACACACACATACCATACACACACACACACACACACACAATTTTTGTTGCCTCTGCCCTTATCTTACCTGATTGCGTGACAACAATTACAATCAACTTGATTCTGCTCACCAAATGACCTTTGAACCCTAATCCTCTCGAGAGCTCCACTTGCACTAATTGCAGGATGTTCCTCCTCCCCCAATTCCAAACCCCCCCCCATGATTCCCCATTTATATACCCTTTCCATTTCCCAAGTACTCTTTTCAAACCTGATACCCTAAAGTAATCTTTCCTTTAACCCTTCCATATATCAATCTACTTGTCCTTTCCCATCCTTAAATAACTTATCTTATCTACACCCATTCCTTTGCCTAACTATAACCACCTTCTCCACTGCCTTTTCCGCTCAGCCACCCCCCTAATCATCTCTACTCTCCCTCCTTGCCTATTTTCACACACTGCTACGCAACTCATTTGTTAATTAGTAATATCAACTACAAATTTTCGCCACACTTTGGTCTGGTCAAAGGCTGTGTGACACCTGGATATTACCTGTGCGGAATTGAGCGTACGAGAGTGGAATTTCAATGGAGTTTGCACTAAAGAACTAAGAAGCTGAACGAAACAGGAATACCATAGAAAAGTTTAGAAGTCTGTTCTGTAGATTTTACAAAGTACTTTTGTTGCTAATATTCCCAGCAGAAATAACATTAAAGGCACTAAATAAAAGATAAAAAATTATTTTAATATTGCGATAATATATGTTTTATAGGTCAGTTATATTACTAAGAAATGACATAGTGAAATAATACGGGCGACTACCGTAGACTTGTAAATATATGCAGTAATATGGAGACATGTTAAGAGAGTTATAATATGTCGGTAGAAAAGCACATATTCAGAGGTACGATTGACGGGATTTATCGCGTCTCATCCAATGCTTTTAACTGGCCATTACCATGATACACACACGCATAAATATTTCTGGCTGACATAGGCGCCTTAGTCAGGTCCAGTGACTACCGAGGTAATCTATGTATATTGCTAAGGAGGAAGCAAGACGGGCTCCAGGACTGACCATCTCGCTGGGAATGCATTTGGTTGGAATGGGATGGCCTGCGTTGCCATCTAGTCGTCACCTGGTTTTCAAATATTACCTTTTTATGTTGCTCTTGGTTGGCCGTGAGTTTTTATTAGTTTGGTTTCTTCATATATAGCTCCTGGTTGGCTGTGAGTTTTTATTAGTTTGGTTTCTTCATATATATCTGCTTGTCTTTATTTTAGTTTCCTTCTCTTTAACTTAGTCTACTTTTGGCCACCCCACACACACTGTCTGTCTGTCTGTCTCTTTTTCTTTCAATCTCTTGAATTTACGAATTTCAATTTATTTTGATAACATGTTCCAGATATAAGTTTGTTGAATATTATTACCGGTGTAATACAGTCCTCATTAATAATACAGCAAAAGCGAAACATTTTCTATAATAACGTCTTTTGTGTTATTTGTCCTCCTTAATTGTCTACATAGTTAAGTAAAATGTTGATTTATGGTTCATAAATAGACGTGAGATGGCTAGAATGTTTGAAATTTAGGTTAGATAAATATATGAATGAATTTGTTTGAGTATATATATAATACTCGGATGAGCTATTAGCCTTCTGAAGCTACTTATTCTTGCTCTTCTTAGGTTTCTACTTATTTTATTTATAATAATGATGTTACTGTTTGATCTCTGATCTCGGATCTCTGTTTTATTCTAGAACTCTGAGAGAAGATGTAGGGCTTGCCATACAAAATTAACAGTTTATACTAAGGGATGAGAAACGTGTTTCACATATAGTTTTGCAGTCGCTGATGCCGAGCAAGTTTCATATGCAAATTATTGATGTAAGCTTCATTGTTGCTTTGCCCGGAGATTTTGTACTTTACCCTTCATGACCATGGAAGAATTAAACTTCCTTTTCATTATTTACTAGGAAATAACTTGTGTTTCTCCCTCACAATAGTTCTGATAGTTACTATCATCTTGCGTAGTCATCAACCCCATCTCGGTAGCAAATGTATTCTAGTCTCTCGTGCCTCTGAGAGATATTGTTGCACTATTTTTGACTGATTAATCTTATGTCAGTTGGCATATCCTCTTTCGTTTCAGTAACTGCTAGAGCGCAGTCATCAGAATAAAAATATATTTTGAGGGCAGAGGTATAGTTATCGTTAAAGAAGACATTCTGGAAGAAGGGGGCGCGCTTTCCTGTGGCAGTGACTAATGCAACATCTTGGAGAAATTTAGCGAGATATCAGAAACAGAACAATTTGTTAAAACCGTATTAGCTGCCACTAAAAATAAATTACGGTAAAAAATGGGATAATTTTTTGTAATATTCTTGCCTCAAAATTTTTGTCAGTGATTGACAGCAAAAGATCTGCAGCTGCTGGCCAGCGTATCGCTCTTCCTTTTGTGGATTGGAAATACATTATATTTTCTATATATATAAAATGGTGAATGTTGGAAGAGGTGATGGAGAATGATGGCTAATAATTAGCAACGTTTCTAAATAATTTCGGGCTTGCTGAAGGTGATAAACTTAATTCTTGTCTACAACAGCCTCAAATATCGGTTTAATAGTTTCATGGAGATATATGGCGGTTGTCTTTATGGATCAGGGGTCCCATATATTATCAGCGAGAGGGGCAGATAGTTGGTCAGCCTTTTCTTGATTGCTATTTGCGACGGTCCCATCTTGCCGATTTAACAGAAAAATTGTGTCAAGAATTTCTCCATGGTCTTTTTTTCTTTGTCTTTCTCTCTGTGGATCTATCTCTGTGTGGCTGTCTCTTTGTGTGTCTCTATGTCTCTCTCTCTTTTTTTCTGTCTGTCTCTTTTTTTTTTTTCATTGCCCGTCGTTAGATCTCCTAACCACTAAATTGCCTTCTAGTTCACTTCATCCTTTACTCGCTTTCCATCTTTCTCCCCTGCTGTCCTCCCTCAGTATTCCTTCGCTCCAACAAACAGCAAAGTCTCCGAGTTGCTTATTCTCCGGAGACGTCCTGTGAAGGTCTCACTCGAGCCGCGCTGGTCACCCCACAGTCACCCAACACCACCCAACACTGATCAACTTTCTTTGCTCGGCCTCAAATCATCTTGGATTTTTCTCCTTTGAATCCTTGTAGCGATTTTTTTTGGTATGCGACGGAAAATAAATACTTAAATAAAATAGACTTTCATTTGGTGGATGGAAAGCATTGTCTGTTATAAATTTAACGACAACTGATATTCCATATTCATTCATGAATGTTGAAAGAGAGGTGGAGTGGCCAAAGACTCCAGCCTGAATTAAGTATTATGTGATATTAGAAAATGTGTGTGTGAAAGCTAGTTAAACAATGAATTTGTTTATTTGCTTCTCGACTGTTGGAGGAGGAAATCACGCGGCCCTGGTGGATACCCTTACTCACAAAGCTGGAACACAATCTGCACCTCGCTGGAAACGAATTCCTAACACACTCTTAAAACCCAGAACGACACACTCGATTATGAACTCAAAAAAAAACTAATTACCAAAGTAGCGAGGTTTCAACCAAATAAAAGAAACGTAAGAGAGAGAGAGAAAAAAAATTCCACATAAACAGTGAGGCCGAAAATCATGTCATGAAGCTCGACTGAACGAGAGAGCTCAGAATCACATTTATATGTAAATCCTGCTTCATATATACCACGATGGTGTTAACGAGAGCTATGTGGCGTAACGTGGGCTCCCGCTTCCCTCACCGAGGCTACAAGGGTCGTTCGTTACCAACACGCAATGATCATTACAGAATTCGTTTACAGGGAGTGGGTTCCTTCTCTTTAGTAGGTTGTAAGGGGACTTTTCTGATAATTGTTTTTATAGGTGCTTATGGAACAAGGATTTCCGGTAAATATAATTAATTTTAATCATATTTACTAATTATAATTATGAGGTAATTATGAAAGAAGGTCGGTATTAAATGTTTATAAGTTCAGGTGTTATTTAATTATCAAATTCTGCATTGATTTCATGTTGTATATCAGTTACATTTAAGTGCTAACTATATGCTATCTATAAAATAATTTTTAATGGCGGTCACAAATGAAAAAAATAATTACTGACACGAAATATTAATTAAAATGATGAAAGGGCAAAGTGTCTCATTATGGCAGTGTAATTAACAGCGTAATTGGTAGTGTGAAGTAAGACGAACATTAACATTGTGTTAACTTTGGAATTAATGTTGGTGATTGGAAGTAATGGCTGTATACGAAACAAAATAATTAGTACGGGTTAATGTGTATGTGTGTGTGCTGGTGAACGCGACCCCTGCCACTCGCACAGAACACCCACACTCAGACCACATGCACACACAACTCACTCACAAACTCAGATCACATCCACTCACAATACGGTCAAAACACACTCACAAATTCATATCACACTCAAACGCTGTAGTTAAATCCCCACTCTCAGATCACACCCAAACGCATCGATCACACTTGATATCCCAGACAACACCTAATCTCTCAGACCACGGCAACACACTCATATGCCACTAATACTCAGAGATAACACCCACACACACACACACTCAGAGATAACATTCACACACGCATTCAGAGATAACACCCCACACCCACACACGCTCAGAGATAACACCCACACACCCTCAGACGACACCCACACCCAATACATCTCCTCCCACACTGGACGCCTCATGGACCCTAGTGTTTAAATATATTAAAACTCTCTCGAATTGGCCTTAGCTGTGCTCTTGCAATGCCTAAGTGTTATTAGATATACATTATGCAGCATGAAAATATACTATCCAGTGCTTCAGCAGTATATATCACCTTATACTAATCTAACATGTATCACTATATAATACACGAACATATATCATAAAATATAGCCAATTAGTTTTTAAAAAATATTAAGAAATATATATAGCAAAATATATCTCCACATTATTTGCTAAAAATATATATAAATGCATCACCAAATTCAACGAAATAGTCAGGACTAAATATATGGCCAAGCCGAGTATGACTGAAGCTGATTGATGGCAGTATTTCCGAGGGAAAATTGACTTTAATCTAGTCCAAATGATGATGGCTTATTCAGTATGAAAAAAAAGTTTATTGTAATAATGCACGGCAACACCCGAAAATGGTTAGTCTCTTGGAAAGGGTGGAAGCTGGGATTTAATTGGAGAAGGGAAGGGAACTATCAGGGGGGAAAGCGCCAAGTCCTTACGACTATATAGCATTGGGAAGGGGTCAGGAGAAGGATTTTGGGATGGGACGGGGGAGGGAAGGAGTGGTTCAATTTAATGGGGGAATGAGAATGGGTAGAAATGTAAAACTACCGAGAACTAGAAGAGTCTAGGAACTGGGAATGATAAATAGGTGGAAATAGATAATGTATTTTGAATAGAGAATAATGACTGCCAATGAAATAGGAATAATAATGGGGAACTGGAAATTATTCGGAAATGGGAGCAACTGCGAACTTAGAATGGCTGGGAAATGGGAAAGCGTCACATGATCCCCCCATTAAGGATTAAAACGAATGTAAAACGAATGTAAAACGAAGACTTTTTTCCACCTGATCTCATTTAATAGATGCAACCTGTTTCGAGTTGAAGACTAGGTTGGTGCGCGTCTGAGCTGATCCTTGACTTTTTACCCATCCAGCGTGAACACGTAGAGCAGCAGCTCTCCTTTCATATGGATGATAAAGGTTGCTTGGGGCTCTAGTGCTCTTGTTATGTTTGCGATTATCAAAGAAGAGAAAATGTAACCTGACCTCCAATAGTCCAATTGCGACAGTGGACTGCAACATCCTCCAAAAAAGTCAACTGGAACTTTTTTTTTCGATTTGTACTGTTAAATGCCCGTGGAAGGAAGTAATAACCTAACCTAACGTTTCCTAGCCCTGGTATAGTACATATATGAACTTAAATTGACCTGTGAATGCATAATGTAGTCTTAGGATTGCTTATCATAAGCCCTAGGAGAGATTTCGTGATGTTGTCGATTAAACTGTTGCATTTTTTTCACGAATTTCAACATACCAAAAGTACAAAATTTTTTCGAATAGCACAATCTCTCTCTCTCTCCCTCTCTCACTCCCTCACTCTCTCTCACGTTCACGTAATACGAGAACGACCTGTTCTCGTTCTAACAATTTTAGAGAGAGAGAGAGAGAGAGAGAGAGAGAGAGAGAGAGAGAGAGAGAGAGAGAGAGAGAGAGAGAGAGAGAGAGAGAGAGAGAGAGAGAGACGGTGTTTAAGGATATTGAAATATGGAAGATTATATATATGTAGAGATGATGCTTTAACAAAGGGAGCTTACGTACATAATTTATTTTGTATTATAATGTTGGTACTCGTGTGTGTAGCAAAAATGGTCACCAATGACATTCGCGAGGGAGCAAAAGGTCAATAACTATAATTATCGTCTGTGTAGTGACCTTGTACATTTCGATGAATCCCACGAAATTCGCATTCTGGAGAGGATCTCTTGAACCTAAGAGGGTCCTTTCCTGTTCCTCATCCGTTCAGAGCTTAAACAAAAATTCTGAATTAAATATTTCTTATGGCATATATTGTCAATAATTTAGGGAGATCTCTAAATGTATATTTAAGTACCTTAAGTATCATGCACCTTAATCGTAGCATATAAATTATTTAGAGAATTTATTAAGAGAATCGACGAAATAAACCAGTTAGCAATAACGAAATTAGTCGATATATGTTTTATAAATATTTGACGGACGTCAATTGTCACTATCCCAAAACACCATACACGTTTTTGTGGCCGAAGGCTCCTATTGTATATATGAATGAAAACTGAATTGTCTCTGATCCAGACTAGTGTATTGGTGATTGGGGAGTATAGTGGTGATTGGGGAGTGTAGTGGTGATTGGGGAGCGTAGTGGTGATTGGGGAGTGCATTAGTGATTGGGAAATGTAGTTTTTTTACCCCAAATATGGCCACACATTTACAATGCTAACCAGCATATATACATTTTCTTCTGTCCTCCATGGAGAGGGTTAGAGATCTGTTAAACATATAATTCAGTGATTTATTGAACAACCACAGAAGGTGATTGTGGTGAGTGAGTGACTGTAGTGGTGATTGGCTAAGGAATTAGTGATTGGGTAGTGTAGTGGTGATTGAGGAGTGTAGTGGTGATTGGGTAGTGTAGTGGTGATTGAGTAGTGTAAGTTTTTCGGTAGTGTAGTGGCGATTCTTTACCTGCAGCTGCATGTGCAGAGCGATTGTCACTCAGCCTAAAAATTCATACACAAAGATGCTCATCCCTCAAGGTTCCACACAAGCCTCAAGCTTCCACACATGCCTCAAGCTTCCACACAGGCCTCAAGCTTCCACACATGCCTCAAGCTTCCACACATGCCTCAAGCTTCCACACAGGCCTCAAGCTTCCACACATGCCTCAAGCTTCCACACATGCCTCAAGCTTCCACACATGCCTCAAGCTTCCATACATGCCTCAAGCTTCCACACAGGCCCCAAGCTTCCACACATGCCTCAAGCTTCCACACATGCCTCAAGCTTCCACACATGCCTCAAAGTTTCCACACATGCCTCAAGCTTCCACACATGCCTCAAGCTTCCACACATGCCTCAAGCTTCCACACATGCCTCAAGCTTCCACACATGCCTCAAGCTTCCACACATGCCTCAAGCTTCCACACATGCCTCAAGCTTCCACACATGCCTCAAGCTTCCACACAGGCCTCAAGCTTCCACACATGCCTCAAGCTTCCACACATGCCTCAAGCTTCCACACATGCCTCAAGCTTCCACACATTCCTCAAGCTTCCATACATGCCTCAAGCTTCCACACATGCCTCAAGCTTCCACACATGCCTCAAGCTTCCACACATGCCTCAAGCTTCCACACAGGTCTCAAGCTTCCACACAGGACACAGGCCTCAAGCTTCCACACATGCCTCAAGCTTCCACACATGCCTCAAGCTTCCACACATGCCTCAAGCTTCCACACATGCCTCAAGCTTCCACACATGCCTCAAGCTTCCACACATGCCTCAAGCTTCCACACATGCCTCAAGCTTCCACATATGCCTCAAGCTTCCACACATGCCTCAAGCTTCCACACATGCCTCAAGCTTCCACACATGCCTCAAGCTTCCACACATGCCTCAAGCTTCCACACATGCCTCAAGCTTCCACACATGCCTCAAGCTTCCACACAGGCCCCAAGCTTCCACACAGGCCTCAAGCTTCCACACAGGCCCCAAGCTTCCACACAGGCCTCATGCTTCCACACATGCCCCAGGCTTCCACACAGGCCTCAAGCTTCCACACATGCCTCAAGCTTCCACACATGCCTCAAGCTTCCACACATGCCTCAAGCTTCCACACATGCCTCAAGCTTCCACACATGCCTCAAGCTTCCACACATGCCTCAAGCTTCCACACAGGCCTTAAGCACAAACAGATTCCATTTCCCACTTAAATTCTGATTTGCTGGAAACGAGGAAAATAATTTAATTGAGAATAATATATTTCTTATATACCATGTGTCTTTCCAGTTCTATAAATTTGTTATGCATTACGAATGAGAATTATAAATGTAATGAGCAGGGCCAATGTTCTCGTAATTATATAATTTCTCAGATTTTGTGTTGAAATTTGCATAATTATGTTAAGCAGAAATTTATGCAAAGTGAGCTTGTCGTGATTAAACAAAAAATCTTGACTCTTGATACATACTTAGACACAATTCTTGATTCATGGCAACCACGTACATATAGTTTATTGTTCATGTTAAAATACGTAAACACAATTCTTGACTCGTGGTAAACATGTACACACTTGGGTTGACTCATGGTAAATACGTCACTTAAATAACCACCCACACCGCCCGCTCACACACACCCAGTCCCCGCCCACTAAGACCTTGCTGACTAAGTTCACACCCACTTAGACCCCCTCACACCCACTAAGACTGTCTCCGCCCCACAGGTTCGCCCTGACCTTCGAGCAGCCCAGTGACTGGCGGCTGCGTATACGCTACGTCCAGCGTCGAGATGAAGGGACCTACCAGTGTCAGGTGTCCACCCATCCTCCCCTGATCCGCAGCATCCACCTGCAGGTGGTTGGTAAGTCTCTCTCTCTCTCTCTCTCTCTCTCTCTCTCTCTCTCTCTCTCTCTCTCTCTCTCTCTCTCTCTCTCTCTCTCTCTCTCTCTCTCTCTCAGTCTGTCTGTCTCTCCACTTTCTCTGCAATGTAACCAGTTGGGGCATCTCACCTTTAAAGAAGAATTTTAATTAAATCCGAATGATTTTTGTTTAAATCTTATTACAATTGTGGTCATTAGGCGCTATTTATTCCACCAATTACAACTGGTAATGACCCTGGTGGTATTCTGGATCGTTAACACGCTGATGGTGCTCTTTGCAACCCGTTAATCGACCTCGTAGTTGTTGCTTGGATGAACGATGATAATTTGAAGGTGAATGAGCTGTCAGTTACACAGTTCTATTTAGGATCTTCATCTGCATCTTCATTCAGTGATCTATTGTGTTCCTGCATATCGAACCCTAACGTGTGGCGCCAAATGGTCAAATTACGAAGCGTTCGGTAAATCTCTACAACGGTAAATGAGAATAATTAACATTTTCTTACGTCGTATCATCGATTGAGCTCTGTACTGCCTCTTGGTCAGTTAGAAAATTCTTGTAAAACCGTTAAAGATCGTTATTCAGATTTTAAACCGTATGTTTAATTCAAACACAGAGAAGTTTGATCCAAGAGACCTTTGGCCATGTTGCAATGAGTAACTTGTCTACAACATTATGGCTTGAAGTTGTGATTCATGGCTTGGAAGTTGTGACGCATTATGAATCATTATTTCAGGTTATAATGCATTATACAAAATTTTCACAGCTCATATTTTTAACAATATTAAATTCTAAGTCGCTTCCATTTAACAAAAAAGGTTTTTGTTATTTTTTTAATTTGCTATAATGTCTATTATGAATTAAAAAAATTAAGACTACATAAATTTCGTTCGAGTCATTTAAATAGGTAAAAACCTGTAAAGGATTTTAATCTTGTAAGGTTTCAAGATTCATTTAAAAGCAGAACATTGAAATAATACTGACGATATGTTAAATACTTTAGCTATTCTTAAATTTGAATGCAAGTCATTTGGTTATTTAAAAAAATATCTACTAAATCTTTGCCATAAGTTTATTGATGGTTTACCATAAATTTATTTGGACGGAAAACCAAACCCACATTGCAGACTTCAAAGGAGTCGTTGGTTTTTCAATAGGAGGCAATCCTACTTAAGGAGGGGCAAAGGGATTGCCTCTGACTTCCCTCTGTCATTCCCTACATACTCACAAATCACAATGGACAGTTGCTGCAAGCCAACCACAAGCCTCTAACCTTAGACAGACAAAACACACATTCTTTTCTCATAGAGATTAATAATTATTACTTTTATTATTATTATTAAAATTATTGTTTATCGTCGTTAACTTCTTTATCTTTAAGTTCTTCTCCATAGTTAAAATATTGCTCATCGTTTTCTTCCTTATTGTTAACATCTCCCTCATCTTAATCTTCTTACCTATGGTTAATTTATTATTGGTCTTCCTATACGTTATGTTCTCTGTTCTTACTCATCATTCGTCCTCATCTTTATGGTGTTCCATATTCATACTCATCATAAATATATTCATAGTTTTACATATCATTACTTTCTTTATGTTCTTCCTACTGTCCTCTCCTGTACCATTTCCCTGCCCACCCCCAGGCAAGAGAGAACTAAGCCACTCGTTAAGGGTGATATTACTGTCCAGTTCCGCAATCCGTGAGTCGTAATTAACATGTAAATTAAATGGAAGGAGTTAAATTCTCAGATATTTACATTCGTAGTCCATCTACGTTTCTAGATATTTGAATTTATAAATATATTTATAGAATTTTACTCACAAATAATGAGAAAACCAGGTGCCTAATTAAGATCCCAAGTGCTCAATTAAGTCGCCAGGTCTTGAAATTAAAAAACAGAACTTTCATTAAGACTCCAAGTGCTTAAATAAGATACCAGGTGGCTAATTAAACCACCGGGTACTCAATTATGACACTAGGTGCTTCAATAAAAACATGTGCTTAATTAGGACACCAGGTGTTTTATTAAAAACAGGTGTTTAATTACGACACCAGTTGCTCGGTTTAGACACGAGACGTCCATTAAAGACATAGGTGTGCAATTAAGATATTTAGTTAAGATATCAGGTGTTCAATTATGACACCTGGTAAGCAATTCAGACACCATACATTCAGTTAAGACATCAGGTGCTCAATTAAGACATCTGGTGGACAGTTAACACACCAGGTGCTGAATAAAGATGCCAAATATTCAACTAAGATACCAAATGCTCGACTAGGACACTAGGTATTCAAAAAAGACACCAGGGGGTGCTCATTTAAGAGACATTAAGTTTATTTCGAATGCATGTCCTGTCCCAGATATTTATTAAATTCCCAGATATTAAATTAGCAAGGTTAATAAATTCTCACAATCTAACATAAATTTTAAATTACGAGAACTTAAAGAGGTTTTTAAATATCTAGAATTTTGAACCAATTTATGTTACTAGAGTGTGAATAAATTTTAATTCAAATTACCAGAGTACATCATTTAATATTTAAATTAACACATAACTTATATATTAAATAATATTTAAATTCTGTTTAATATTTCGTATATTGTACTTTTCTTCAAAGATTTAAGATTCTCATTAAATTTAAACTTGCGGGAAAATAAATTCCTAGACATTTAAATTTAAAGAAATTCTTATTTCCCAGAATTTAGTGATTGAATATTATACTTAAAATAGTATAGAAAATTTTCTTTAAATTGCCCGAATCAATTAATCATTAATTCAATTATTAATGAGCTGCTTGTGATTAAATAATTCGCCGTCAGCTGGCTACAGTCAGCATTCAATATTCGCTTTCAGCTGCTGGAAGTAAGCATGATATATTTTCACTTTCAGCTGCTTGAAGTAAGCATGATATATTCGCTTTCAGCTGCTTGAAGTCAGCATGATATATTCCCGTAGTTCAAATATTTGTATCTATAATGAAATCAATGACTTCTTGAAATATTTTTTCGTGCTCAGGTTCGTGCTTTTTCGTGCTTTCGTTTTCAGGTTAGTGTTCCTTTCAAATTTTCGTTTCGGCGAAACATTTGTCTCTATATGACGCTTTCGTCTGTGCGTGAGACATAACCTCTCCCCTCCACACCGTAAAACATTCGTGCTTTAATTAAACATGCGTGTTATCGCATAAACATTCCTGTCTTCGTGTGTCCATGGAACATATTAGGGTTTCCGTGGCACTTTCGTTCGTCCGTGAAACATTCGAACCCCCGTGGAAAAAGACACAATTCTCCACCGAAAATCTTCAAGAAATTGCTCCGCTCGTGGCAATATCTTGGCCAACTTGATGGTAATTAGTGGAAAAGAAAAAAAAAACTCCTTGGAACTTCCAGATACTCAAAAAACTGCGAGCCAAAATTAACTTCATCTGAGAAGGGGGAGTAGGGAAGGGGGGTACTTAGAAAGGAAAGGGAGAGAAAGTTATGTATCTGGAGGTAAGGAAAAGGGAGAAAGGAGGATGAGTTTGGTAGAACTAGTCGGGAATGGAGGAAAGTTTTTAGTATATTAGACACACTTTGAAAGTTAAGAGGGAGGATAAATTATTTTAATGAATTTTGTAGCTTTTTATTTATAAATATGATAATAAAAAATATTATTTTTATTAGGATTATTATTGTAATTGCTACTATTTAATGTGTATATGAAAGAGCAGAGATTCTCTGGGAAAATAACAATAACTTTTTTTCCTCACTTGATTTATCTACCTATTTTTCTGTAATTTATCTACATTACTGGTTTATTTCTCTATCAAAATCTACTACGTATATTTTTTAACCAATGGATAATTCTGGAACAAAGATATATTTTTTGTCTTGTATCTGTTTCTTTCAAAGCCTTTGGCTCTAATAACCTATCTATTTTGAGCTAGTTTATATGTTTGTAGTAAATACAGCATTAGAGTGTAATCAGGTTAATTCTGAGTCATTTGAGGGCTTTATTGTGGCAATTAACTCGATTTTATAAATATTTACCTTTTGATGAGGTACCCAGGTCTCTCCTCTATACACCCTCTCCATCTCCCCTACACCCACTAACCTCCCTACCCACACACCTTTAATCTCATCTCCTTCTTTCCTGCTCACATATGCTCCTTTCCCCATCTCTCTCTGCCCACACACTCCCTTCATTTTCAATGTAACCGAAAGGTTGTGCTTAGAATGCAAATCTGTCTTCAGAACACGTTTTAAGATTGATATTTGACTTCACTATTATTTAAACAAATGCTATGGAGTCGTGTTGAACATTTCACATCGCCCGACATCGAGAAGGAGAGGTAATGGGGCCGTGACCCTCTTTCAGGAGGGCATTGGGCCGACCTCGAACCCCTCAGACACTCTCAATCTGGTTTTCTGACTTCGATCTCTGGGCCGGACAGAAATGGTTAATTACGTTTCCTTTCACCTAATGCAACTGTTCTCCTAGCTGTGTATAGGAAGAACCCTGCTGCACGCAATAAAAGATGAACGCTTAGAATCAATACTGATGGGTGTTTGTTATCGACAGATGCGTAAATGCATATCAATATTTTCGTTACGCATATCGACAGGCGCATAGTAGATATCGATATGGACGCGTGATTGGTATCGATAGACACATTCAGGGTGTAAATAGACACATGTTGGGTATCGATAGACACATTCTGGGTATAAATAAACACATGATGGGTATCGATAGACATATTCTGGGTATATAATACATGCAGGCTATCTATACCCACGTGAGATTAGTCAACGTGATATTAGATAATATCTTCAAACGTACTTTCCTGCTTTCATTGAAAGGGAAGCCCTTCCCTTTCCTCAGCGTGGGAAAGGACCTAAATCCTACCTTAAGAGGGAAATGAGGTAATTAATAATATATTGAAATTCATATCGTGCTTAAACAATAATATTTAAACGGGGCTATTTTGTTTATTTTAGAAGA